GTATCAAAAGTTTGCCTGAATTTAGCTTGAAAGATGGATGAAAACACCACTGCCCACTCGCTCGGTTTGGCTTGGCTCAGTTCAGTAGTGCTTTAATGGCACGACAAGAAACAAATCTGCGCTGCCAAGCACCATGGGATCAGTTGAGGTAAAACTGGAGACAGATGGCTGGGAGTAATTAAAGCAAAACCAATAGATACCCGTTTTATCAGTGTAATGCCAGAAACACTCTGATGCAAACTAAATGTTCGGGAGCTCTCGCTCCTTCCCTGTCTGCTCACTCTTCTACTCCCTCAGATATTTTGCTCCTCACACTGTTACTAATGATCTGTTCTCTTATAAATTGAGAATATTTCTCATATTAGCCTACTGTCTTTTTCTGATACCCTTCTGTCTTAGTTCAACATTTCGGCCTTGCTTTTTTATGTCCAGCTCATGTCAGTGGGTTAGGTACCAAGCAGAAATCAGGACGCTGTTAGCCTAGCTTAGCATAATGACTGGGGCAAAAAAAATACCAAAACCTCTACAACTTACATGTTGTATGTAGTTTATTTATCCAATACATAAACAGGACAAAACAATATGTTGTTTTGCGTGTTTCATAAAAAGAAAAGTGAAAGAATTTCCTGATTTGTATCGTAGAACTTTGGTAGAACATTAAAGAATCAAAATAATGACTTAGTATCTCAAAGAGAGTTTCTTGGTTTTTTTTTTAGATACCAAGTCATTATTCAGAGATGCTAAGTTATTATTTGAAATACCAATTCTTTATTTTGAGATACTAAGTCATTATTCTGCGATACATTTGCGAAATATGTGGATCTAGAAGCTTGGCGTAGTTGGCGAACTATTGTAGCAAGTGAGCTAGCTGCTAACATGCTAACTGCTTGCTCATTAGCTCAATCACTACAGGGACATTAAGTTAAGTTAACACAGTTAAGTCAAAAGATATATAGTACAATCGACACCTGTTTCATGTCTGTCTGTTCTCTTTTGTGAAGTTTATACTTTGACAGAGGACGTTAAATAAAACTGGATGGTGCAACACAGCTAGTAAGCTACAATAGCTTTCTCCGTTATAGACAATACAGTGTAAAAAATTAAGTCATTGACAATATTAATATATTTATATTAATACCAACAAGGCTGTTATTTTTTTATGTTCAAGTTGAGAACATTAACCATTTGTTTTAAATTGAGGGTATAATTAATTAGTTGTAATAATTAATTGTATAGTAAATGTAGATGTAAATGCTGGTGTGACCAGGCCTTATGAGTTGTTAGGTTTGATACCATCATGCCTCCAGAGACTAATAGTGAAACCTAATCATCCTCAACCTGCATACTGAATGGCAACACACTATAGCCAGGGACACTGCTCAAGATTAGTCTTCTGGGCAGATGGATAAAGTGTTTGTCAATAAAATAGCTTCAACACAAGTTCCCCTAAATCACATGTAAAGATGAAACCAACAAAATAAAATTGCATAATTTAAAAAAAAGAGTCAGACTAGCTGTTTCCTCGTGCTAAGCTAGGCTAACCAAGTCTCGTAGCCATCTGTACTCAATGCTCAGACGTGAGATTGCTATTGTTCTTCTCATCTCAGAAAACACTGACCTCTTTCTTTACAGTAAGCTTAGACAACTGTGTGTGTATTGTGGTGTTTGTTCCTTCCTGTCAGCTCGTCTTCTTCAGCCTCTCTTGTGTTTGTATCAGACAAAAGCATATACAGCGGGCTAGTGTTCATTTGATTCAGCAGCTGGCCGAAGAAGGATCAACTGTTCCGTGGTTACCAGCATAACTGACATGTGGCACAGATGGAAGGGTGTGATTGTTGGTGTGTGTGTGTGTGTTTTATCCCGGTAGCCGGCTTGTTTATGCTAGAAATATCGGAACAATGTAACCACTGCGAGTCTGGAGACAAGAGCACAGACAGTAAGAGGTGGATGCTAGTGGCCAAACCAGCGGCAAGGAATACATCATACACCTCAAGCATACACCCACACACTGACTTGCATGTATGCACACAGTCATATAGACACACACACACACAAGCCCTGTTTGCACATCCTGTGACAGGTTTTCTCCGTACCCAAGAGTTACGATCTTCCTCTGTGTTTTCCTCACAGCAGCAGTGAGGAAAAGGAGAACGGAGGAAGGGAGGAAAAGAGAGAGGGAGAGAGAGGGAGTGTGTGTGTGTGTGTGTGCTTTTATTGAAAGTTGCATCAGAGCCCCGAGACAGCTATGTGAATTTCAGCCCAATTAATCTGGAGCTTGTGAGCAGAGACTGCATAACAAGACTCGTCTGTCTGACCTTAGGCCAGCTCAGCGTGTGTGTGTGTGTGTGTGTGTGTGTGCATGTGTGTGTGTGTTTGTAACAGATAGTCAAAGTAAGGTAGGGGATGATATTGTGCGAGAGAGGCTGCCTGTTGTCACTGTGAGTGTGCATATGACACTGTTGCTTGTGTACGTGTGTGTGTGTGTGTGTGTGTGTGTGTGTGTGTGTGTGTGTGTGTGTGTGTGCGTGCAGTATGTTTGTGTGTCAGACAGATTTGACTCCATGCTGTTGGTCAGCGTGACAGCCTTTTCTGCCGGTCTCTCAAACGCACTGCACCCCCAACTAAGCTGACCTCCGAAAAACACACACAGTCACACAAAGTTCTGCATGCCCTTTACACGGTGACAACAGATATCATCCATAATATCCTTCTCTGTCTCCCATTAATAGCCTACTTTTTACAAAACCACAGCCTGACAGCCCGAACGACCATTTATTCAATTCATACAGTTTACGTGAAATGCCAGTTACATACTTGTTGTTCCTTTTTTCACTCAGCTTTTTATGCCACACACAGGCACATACATCTACAGTATATATACGTTCATACAGTGTGAAACCAGTGAGTGTGGAGATTGCATGCATTCCCACCACTCTTCTTGGCAGAGCCCTCGGCGGTAGCCATCCAGCACGCCACTGCAAATGAGGACTTTGGACTAACATGTTCTGTAAAGGAACATAGCAAGTCTTTGAATGTTTGGGGCACTTTGGCACAAACTGTGTAAACTTGTTAGTAGGCTACCAATCAGTTTTAAATATTTTTTTGTAGGTTTTTCTGACTTCCAATAGAGCTCAATTCTTTTCAGTTTGTAAGAAAATACATTTTCAGAGTATTAAAACTAGCTTGAGATGGATACTTTTTTCTGGAACAAATAGTTAGTGTAAGGGACTACCGTTTGAAATTCAATAATTACTTTACATTTGGTATTCCCAGTAACACTTCGACAATCTGGGCGTCAGCTTGCTCAATATATTGCCGGGAGTTTGATGAACGGTTAATATTAGTTTGGTCTCTGTGCGTTGGACAGATTTTGGTTAGCTATATGCAAAATGCAGTGACTCCAAAGTTGCCTTATTTACATGTTGTCTGAGCTAGCTTGCTAATGTTAGCCACTGTACGCCTACATTTACTTCTTCACTGTAGGCCTGTGGGGCTGTGTGCTGTCCCTGTGGCTAATGTTGAGCTAACTGCTGATGGTCATCAAATTGGCTGGCTGCTTGTTATACCACAAAGTCTTCTTTTCTTTTTTCTAAATACTCAATATGTGACGAGTGGGTGCTAAAGCTTTAGAGTTGCTGCAAAGCACTTTTGATGCTACTTTTTAATAATTGTTAAAGCTAAGGTTGGTATTCTTGAAAAACTAGCAAGAGTATGCTAGGTTAAAACAATTATCCAACTCAAAAAGCCAGCCAAGTGTTGCGTACTCAAACAAAAGTAGCTAGCAGCATTAGCTCCAAAGGGTGCTAAATCTAGCAAGAAAGTCGCCAGGTCAGCTACACAGACAGCCCATCCCTTCAAGTCATCCTTCAAAATGATCATTATTCATTTCATAATGAACGTAAACAACAAACATGGCTATTGTTAGTACTTATAGCTGTTAAGCTAGCTGCTTGTGTAAGACAGCGGTGACGAGTAATGAGTGCACACATTGATCCAGGCTTATTACAAGTCTTGCAACAGCCAAAGATACAGTTTTATTTATTTTCTTTTTAATGTCAGAGTATTTAATTCATTGATTGCTGTCAAGGTAATTTGTATTTCAACAAATAGAACAAACATATTTGTGTTCTATTTGATAAAAGTAGTTGATTCATTTTCAAGTGGCTGGCCCAAAAGTGGCTTTCTTCCACTAAATTTACTGTCAAAATATTTTTTAATGCTTGCCTTGGCTTTTATTTTGGTAGCGTGAGGTCTATCGGTTATGATAACATCGTACTCACCAAGTTAAAGTGGAAACCCGTCCCTTTGTCTCAAGGTAGGAACAACACAGTTTACCAATCTAAAAGAGAGAGGGTTTGCTTTGGCAGATCAGCAGTGATGTAACGTGTGCTTGTACGCAACTCGATTGCACCAATATGATCCCTTTAACCAGCAGTCTCACCTCCGACCCAAGCAGGTTAAACACAGTATCAACTTTCATTACTGTGTGTGCGTTTCTTAACATACTGCGTCGTTTTTCCACAGAGGACTGCTCCTAATCTCACTATTTGTTGATTTTCTCCCTTCAGTCGCACTCTCGTAAAGTGGAGTACAGTTGGTTTTTGTTGCTGTTTTTTTTTTTGTCGTACTAAACTAGTCCACAGGACAGCTGCCATTATAATCCAAGATTTGGATTTTTTTTTTGTAAAAAGCCACCATCTGCTTACTTGATCTTATCATGTCATGATGAATTGTTTTAATGGTAGATATTTAGGGAGACAATTTAAGGACGAGCCACTGAGGTTAAATGTAATTTCACCATTCTGTGTTGTGAGAATGAGAGCACGCCATTGCTCAACTTTTTGCCTGTAGCTTACCTCAGAAGTTGATTTTTAAGTGGATTTTCTGTTAAAACAAACAATTAAATAACACTTTATTTTCTATAGGAATACTTTTCATGACCTGTTGAGCCTATATGCAAACCTAAATGTCCCCTCTCTTTTATCCATCTGTCTATCCAGGGCCGTCTGCTGGTGAAAACCGAGCGCACCCACCTCGGGGAGAAGGTCCTGCGTGATGCGGTTCAGGTCCACAGCACCTCTCACGAGGCGTGGAGCGGTCTGGGAGAGGCCCTGCAGTCTCGAGGCTCCAGCCAGGCCCCCGACTGCTTTCTGACAGCCCTGGAGCTGGAGGCCTCCTGCCCCATCCGGCCCTTCACCATCATCCCCAGGGAACTTTGAAAGGGCCTGGGCTGGGGTTGGGGGTTTGGGTTATAATAACTTGTGATGCAGATACAGTTGGAAAACACGTACCTTAAACGGAAAGTTTGACAATATTTTTGGAAATAGGCCTGTTTCACTTTCTTGCCAACAGCTTGATGAGAAGATTGATACCACTCATGTCTGTCTATTGAACATGAAGCTACAGACAGGAGACGATTAGCTTAGCATAAACCCCTGTAAAACCACAAACGGCAGTTGTTTAACAAACAACAATGAATTTAACAAACAACAATGTGATTAGTGAACTTAATTAAGTTTCAGTAGGCAGATATTTTGTTACCCTTGGACAGAGCCAGGCTAGCTGTTTCTCCCTGTTTCCAGTCTATATGCTAGGCTAAGCTAGCTAACTCCAGGATGTAGCTTTGTATCTAACTAGCAGATATGAATGTTGCATCAATGTTCTTATCAAACGTCCAGATAGAAACCAAATGTTTGAAGTGTATTTCCCAAAAATATTCCCTTAAAAGGTATCAATGACTTTCATTTTCAACCCCCCGAAATATGAGCGCTGCTACGTTCTTTATAAGTTATCAGCTAAAAAAAGAAAAAAAAAACATGCTGTTGCATATTTACGTGAAATAGGATATCAATGCTGTTCTTGTAATAAAAAGCAACAGAGGCATTCTGATTTTTGCAACATAACAGAGCAGTATATACAGAGGGAATAATGTTATAATGTACGTTCTGTGACAATGTACATCTCCTATGGAGTTATAGGTACAGAAATGAAATCATAGCTCTTTTGCAATTAGTGACTAATGAGTAACATTCTTAATAATCTGAATCATTGGGTGTTAATTGAATGAACAGCAGAGGTGTGCCGGTTACATCTTCAAGATAGAATGTATGTTGTCGTGTTTCGTGTGGAGATGCAGATGCATCAATTATGCACAGGCTTGTCAGCAACACTAGCAGCTCCACTTCATCTTTGTCTTAGCCTTTGATGTATTTTTGATGATCAGACGCAGATTTCGTGTACATACAAGCACCCCCCCCCACCCTGTCAAACCTCAAACGAGAGGTCATCCATTTTCAAAGCTGGGACAATCGTGTCTCATTCCATATGTCTTTATTATGTGTGTTTCCAATGCGGCTTGTCTTTATATTATGTACCTTCATGCATGCGTGTTTGTTTTTTAAGCCGTCCTTCTGGGGTGTTATCAGTCTCTGTTCTGTTTGTTCTGTCTGTATGGTACAGTAGGCGACTCATCCGCTCATAACGTGTCTGGTTTTTTTTTTGGGTATTTTTTTTTTGCTGTCGTGTCTTTACTCATCTGCTCGTAATGCTCTCCAATATAAACTACAACGGCTTTTAAAAATCACTGCTTGGTGCTGCGTCTTCACCTGTCTTGTCACTTGTGATTAATGGACATCACTTCCGAGTGCCTATAACCACATTAATGTGAGCAGTGGGACTGGGCTGCGAGCTTATGTAATACTGCCAGCACAGTTTTCTGCCTCTCTCTCTCTCTCTCTCTCTCTCTCTCTCTCTCTCTCTCTCTCTC